AGCAGTTTAGTGAGATCCTGTCTCAAAATTAAAGTGTAGGGGGACTGGGGATGTAACTCAGTGGTTAAGTCCCTGGGTTCAATCCCTGGTACTAAACAAATAAAAATTGGATTGCTGGCTTCTTTCTCATAGTCTCTGATTTAATAGGCCTGGAGTAGGGTCCATGAACTGACTTTTCTAACAAGATAAAGAGCATTCTGACTGTCCTCCTTGATAATCAGGAATTAGAATAAGGTCTTTCCATCCCTGAAACTTCTGGTGGCCCGGCTGGGATTTGGAAGTAGAAAGATGACTCTCATGCTTGGAATTCTGGGTTCAGGCCTGCTAACTGGTAGGGTAAGGGTTCTTCCTGGGTAAGAGAACAAAAATGGAGAGAACGGTCACATGCAAGTGAAAGGAAGAAATAATGACATCTCCTTAGATTGAAGTTTTCACCATTAACAATAATCCTTATAAACCCCAGAATGCTGTGTGGACAATTATCACCTCCTTTCTACAGACAAGGAAAGTGAAACTCAGATTAACTTGCTTTGAATCCTACAGCTGGCCAGTGGGGAGAAGGACAGACGCTCAGGTGGGCCTGCCTATTGGATTGCTGCCTTGGAAGCACCACGGCTGAAGCAAGACTAACCTAGATATGAATTCTCCTCCACTACTTACTAGCTGGGCATTCTCTGCAAGATGCTCAGCCTCTCTGTGCTACTACAAAATGGAGGTCCTAGGAGTCCCTAACTCATTGGGTTGCTGTCACGATTAACTGAAATGAAACTCTGATGTGCTTAGGAGCAGTACCTGGCACATAGAAAGGCAATGTAAAATTTTGGTTTATTTAACCTTATCGGCCATCAGACTGCACACACTGAGCGGAGAAAGTTCAGAGAGAGTCCAGTACCCAGTGACAGGGTAGGCAGAAACACTTGAAAAACTATAAGAGCCTCGGGTGGAGGGAACCTTGGCTTCGTCGGTGGTGAGGGAATGGCCTCATTTAAAAGCCTGATTAAGTGCTCTGCCCGCTCGCTGGGTCTTAACTCCAGGACCAGACTTCAGACTTACCAGTGCGGGTCCCAAACCTCTCTCCCCACCGTCACTACCCCCACCCAGGCGCTCCGGGTTTCCTGCCCGTCTGAGGCCCCTGAATGTGGCGGGTGGAGGAGGGGTGGCATTTCCTGGCCAGGCCGAGGGCCGCGTCACCCTCTCATGGACGCTCGGACAACTAGCTGACCGACAGGCACCAGATGCTATTTCGGGCGGCGCCTGGCTAAGCGCTCAGTTTCCGTTTTTCCACCCACTGTCGGAAACTGGGGAGGGGAGGGGTGTAGACATCACGAGCCCCCAGCCCCAGGCAGCCCCAGGTGGGGGCTTGGGGACTTGGTCAGGGACAGCTGGCAGTCTGATAGAGGAGAGCGCGTTTGTGTGGAGGAGGGGGATGGCGAACGCCCCGCTCCCAGCCCTGGAGACAGACCCCTGGACACACCCTCTGCGGTAGGGTTGACCAGCCTTTCCACCTGTCTCCACTTCTTCAAGACAGCTCTTGAAGGTGTAGGGCAGGGTTCTTGCATGCCCTGTAAAATAACCCGACAGTCTGCAGGTGCCTCAAAGGCATCAGGGAGTTCAAAACAAAAAGCAGAATCCCACCCCCTGCTCTCTGGTCTCCAGAACTCTCCCCACCTCTCAAGGAGGACTCACCTATCTCCAATATGACAGCTACATTCCTGGATTCCTTCCTCCTTCTTGCCTGCCAAGCCCAATTCCTTCAAACCCAGTTTTACATCCTACATAAATGCCATCTTCTGCCAGCACCTAGAACAAGCTCTAATTCTCCCTCCCCAGACCACTACACTGGCCCCAGAACTGGTCTTCCAGAATCCTTCCCGTCCCAACTCCACGCTGCAGCCAAACAGTCTTCTAGAAAAGCAAATGTGATCCTATATAGGACACTGGACACTGGACAAAAGGTTCCAAACAATCCTTGAATTGTCCATAGGCTTGCTCCATTCCTACTGAATTCTTTTCTGTTCCTTTCATGAACTTATGGTCCTTTTGCTTCAGCCCTTGGCCCAGGCCTCATTTTCTTAGGGAAGCAGTCCCCAGCTGGACTCTCCGATATGGGATTGGCAAATCTCTTTTTGCAGGGGCTTGCATACATGAAATGACTTACCCAAGAGTCCCACAGCCCAAGAATGACAGATCTGGGTTTCTAACTCACTCTATTAAGTGTCACAGACAGGAAAGGTGTGTGTGTGTGTGTGGGGGGGTGTGTTTAGACTTTCTCGGGTCACAGGTGGCCTTCCACTGTGGGGTTCTGTGAAAGTTCCCTTTATCCACACAGCAGCTGACTTTCATCAGAGAACACAGGAAGAGGAGACAGGCTGCACTGAAGTAACCACACCTTCTCAGGGAGTCATCCACATGACCTTGGAGGGGCCAGAACTCAGAGAGGGGTACAATTGGGGATCAGTCCTTGACTGGAACTCAACCTATGACTGGACAGATGAGGAGCTTTTCCCAGTTCTCACACTCCAAAAAGAGCCCAAACTGGAGACAGAAGAGAGACAAGCAGCCTGGCACAATGAGAAAAATTGGACAAAGAGCTTGGTTGTTGGCTTTTCTTCTGGGTCACTAAGTTTGGGCCAATTCACATCTCTTTTTGCCTTATTTTTCTTCTCCATGATGGTATCCAGATCTCCTATGCAAGTGCATACGATGTTTTCATGGGCTGTAGGTTGGTTGAAGTATATAGACTTATCACCCACCACTGCCACCTTTTAAAGGTCATTGTATTTATTCTCACAACTTTGTGAGGTAAAAGTTATCTCCCTGTTTTACGGAGGAAGAAAATGAGGTTTGGAGCTAAATGGCTAAAATTTGAGCCTGTACTCCTTCCACTCCGACATGAAAGAATAAATTCATATATTCTCCATAGGTTGAGCCCCAGTTACCCAGTTGGCACTGTACTCCACTTCCTGCTATACATTATAGATCTTGTCTGGAGTACTCCACCACTGAGCCACATTCCCAGCCCTATTTTGTATTTTATTTAGAGACAGGGTCTCACTGAGTTGCTTAATGCCTGCTATTGCTGAGGCTGGCTTTGATCCTCCTGCCTCAGCCTCTGGAACTGCTGGGATTACAGGCATGCAACACCATGCCCAGCCCAAACTAAGTTCTTAAAGCCCCATTTTAGCTGAGACTCCGGGGCCAAATTTCCTTCAAACCCAGGCTCCACCACTCACTAGAAATGTAACATTGGGAAACATTCGATTTTACTCTGTGCCTCGGTTTCCTCATCTGTAAACTGAGAATAACAAAAGCACCCACTCCTCAGGACTGGTTATGAAAATTAAAAATATTTGTAGAGTACTTAGTACTTAGGTTAAAGTGTTTGTTAAAAATATTATGGGGGAGTGGTGATTGTGGGCACTGGGCTAAGCCTGAAATCAAGCAGAATGAATATTTTAATTCCCTATTGACATCAGTCACTCCAACCCTCTTAGAGCCCCCTTGAGTTTGTGCTACTGGCTCCATTTTAGAGTAGAAAGGGGTGGAAGGCCAGAGAGGAGTTGGGGGGCTTTCTGAGATAAGAGGAACTGTCCACTGAAATCCGGGTGTCTTGGACACTGGAGAAAAAATGAAGGGAGAAGAGTCAGGAGGTGATGGTTTGGGAGGTCTTGGTGGTCTTCAGAGGCACAGAGTGTTGGGATGAGAGTCGCTGAAGAAAGGTATCTGGAAGGCCGAAGGAATGGGTGAGGTTGTAGGGAGCCAGGATTCGTGAGAGGTCCCCGGGATGAGAAATGGGGCTGAACCCGCCCGGTCGCAGACAGCGCGCTCAGTTCTCTCGGTGGCGCATTCCGGAGCCGGTCCCAGCGCCGCGCAACCAGTCCCCACTCCCTCCGGTGAAATTGCCAAATTAAAATGAATCATTTGGCCCATAATGGCCGAGGCGCTTATCGGGGGCGGGCGGACCCGCGGCAGTGCCTTATCTCCGCGGCGCACACGGCCCCGGCGCGCCTCGGCCCATGCTAACGAGGCCGGGAACGTGAGCGGGATTAGAGCGCGGTGGGGCAGGAGCCGGGCGCGGGCGGGCGGGGGAGCGGACTGCGGAGGGGCCGGGCCTCCATAGCCAAGGAGCAGGCCTCAAAATGGCCACACGCGTCCCCCCGTACGGAAAAACGTGAGCATTCTGGCCTTTTTGTTGGGGAGAAGCGACCTCCCGCCTCCCACGGAATTCCTCGTCAGTTTCCTCCCCTCGCTCCCCACACCCGCAGAAGATGCCTGCGCTCCCTTTCCTTCGGTTTCTTTAGACGGGGGGCATTTTCCACGGACACCCCCGCCCTCGCCGTCCCCCTCCCGCCTCTGAGACTCTCTTCCTTCCTTCCCCTTTTTCCTTACGCAATATACAGAAATGCGCGAGGCGGTGGTTGGTTTTCATTTCTTCTTCGTGGTTGTGTGCATGCGGTGGGATTGTGAGAGTGCGTGTGTGTGAGCTGTGGGCGATGTTGGCTGTTTCCGAATGTGGTCTTTTGGGCGATAGGTTGCGTGTCCCCGTGCAATGGTGCCTGCACTGTTTGGGTGTGTAGATTTGGACCCCTCGAGGCCCTACTGCCGTTTATTCGTTGTGTGTGTAATTACGCCCGTTTCCTTTCTCAACTGGGGTCGGGTTCTGCATGTTGGGTTTGTGTGGTCTTGGCGATGGTGTTTGGGTGGCTTCGTTGTTAGGTCGCGCCTGTGTGATCCTGTGTCGGGTTGTGTGTCCGTGAGTGACTGTGTTTAACTGATTTCGTTGTGTCATGTTGGGAAGCCTGCGGGTCTGACCATGTCGGCTTGTGGGGCAGTGTTTGGTTGTGTTTATTTGCTTCCCTCCTATGAGGCTGGACCTTGTGTGGCCCTGTCCACACCGAGCTGTGTGCGTGTATGCCTGTGTCCTTTAGAGGTGCATTTGCAAATCGCTGGGGGCGGGAGTGGGGGAGGGTGAGCGAGAGATCCAGGCGCTAGTGGGGACGTCGGCATGGGGGCGGGGAGCGGGATTTCACATTTTATTCCAAATTATGATGTATTCGGGAGCCAGTGTTGGCTTGGATGGGCGGACAGAGCCCAGTCGGCTGCTGCTCTGTCCGGAGGTCAATCTGCGCCTCGGTGTTTGAAGGGTTCGTTGGTGAGTGGGAGGCTCTTCCAAGCTCGAAGCTGAGCAGCGCTTGCAGAGGCCCGCGCCTTCAAGCCGGTAGCCGCCGGCTTGGGTTCGCGCCGCACTCCGGCTTCTCCCATTTCTGGTCAGTTTCGCGGGTGCGGCCGGCAGCGGTGGTCTAGGAGGGAGGCCCGGTAAGGACAATGGATGCATTTTCCCAAGGCCTCGCGCCACGGGTGGGGGCCCTCGGGATCACCTCCGGGGGACATTTTCCTACCCTTTTCTTCATAAGCGACATTACCGTGAGGGTCAGATGCCTGTCGCATGGGTGACCACAGCCAAATTCATTCGGGCTTCTTGGAAGAACGGGGTCAGTGCTGCCCTGGCTGGAGAAGAAAGGATTTTGTTTTGCCAGTTGTTGTGATTGCCAATGTCATCATCATTATGATCATCATCATTAGCATCCTATTTTAATTAAAAATAATCGTCCCAAAGCGCGGCAGCAAGTCCCTTTAGCTTCTTTGGAAGGAGAACAAAGCAGCGCAGTCCTGTTACCCCCCGCCCTCCAGTTTTGTTTTCAAGTTGTTGGGTTTGGGGTAGGGAGAGAAAATGGAGGGGTCAGACAGAGATTCAGTCATAAAGCAAACACAACCCCGAAATAACACACCGGGGATGGGTGGGTTCCCCTTTTTCTTTCTTTCTCCATTTGGATTAGGAGAGGAGAAAGAAAATCGCCCGCATTGGATCAAAATTCGAGGAAGAATTATTCCTGTATTTCCACCAGAGCGCGGCAAAAGGAAGGAAGCCTTTGCAATTAATCCAAGACTTCGATGTGATCATAAACTGGACAATTTAGGCAAAACAAATTAAACAAAACCCACAGGGGGAAAAATAAAAGCAAACTAAATCTGGCTACACCCTTGGAAGCAGTATCCGGTTGGTTTTTAACCCTCCTTCCCTTTTGCCTTATTTATTACTGCAACAAATTACTAGAATTCCCCCTATTCTGCCTGTCTAGACCCCGAAAAATCAAAAACCATTTTGTAGGGCTGGTGGAGGGAAAGGTGAAGAATTTACCCCCTCTATTTCTCTCTCCCTTACTCTCTTTACTTACCCTAACTTACTTACTTACTTTAGTTCTTTCTTTTATTCTTTCTGTTAGAAGGGAGGGGGAAAAAAGGACCTGAATTTATCAGACACCTACCCACCCCCAATTCGGACTCCATTCCTTAAGGGAAGTAGAGCCCTTGGAATCTGGTTCTGGTTTCGCTTTGGGCTGGAGGTGGGTAGATCGGGGTCAGGAGAGTTCCTGGAGGAGGGGGTTGGACTTGGTGTTCTGCCCCACAGATCAGGGCCTGGAGAGACTGACTATTCACCTTCCCGGACACATACCCCCCACCCATCCACGTCTGGCCGGGGAGACCCTTATGCGCTGTGGCCAGGGCCTGGCTCCGGTTGCAGAGTAAACTGCGTAGACACGTCCATGCTTAGAAAACAAATTTGACCATACCGAACCAGTTCGATCCCGTTTGGAGGGTATGAAAATGTTCTGGGCAGCCTGCCGGGAGGGGTTGTTGTTGTTGGACTAAATAGTTATTCCTGATTGGTTAGGCGTAGTGTTCATTTTTAAGGGGAGTGGGGGAGGCTCCAAACACCTGCAGGTTGGGGGCCGGAAAGCAGTTCGTGATTCTATGGGCTGGTTGGTGGGGGACATGAGGTAACTCCCAGCCATTGACCCCCATTTCTCTCTCGCCCTCCCTTTTTCTCTCCACCCCCATCGTTCCTGGAAACTCGCTTTGGGCGCGGCAGACCGGCCAGGACCACGCCGCAGTCCAACTAACTGCTAGTCTTTCTGCGAGAGAGGGGGAAAGCAAAGACCCCTGGCCACAACCTTGACCCCTCTCCTCCTGCGGAGGAGTGAAGGTCCTGTTCAGAGGGGCCAGTCTCTCTAAATATGCCCCAGGTGAGTTTTTGGGGGGTGAGGTGGGGTGAGGGTGAGTGTTAGAGGAAAGAGTATCCAGGAAGGCCTTGGGATTCCTGCTTGAGGGGGGGAAAGCTCAGGAAGAGAAGATCCCAGTCTTAGATTGGGACTGGACAGGACCAACACAAGGTTGGGAAATTCAGCTGCCTCTGGCATCCAGCAGGGCCCTTCCCTTTTTCCGGTCTCCAGTAAAACCAGCTGGTGGAATAAGTCCTCCTGGCAGCTCTCATCCTTCTGGGTTCTGTGGACATTTCACAAGGCCGGTGACTTTGTAGAGGCTATATCCGGGTGGTTTAGACTATGCCTGGAGCTCCTGCAGGAAGAAGGCCCAAGCCATCCTGGCTGCTCTTGTGAGCCTTGACACAGGGCCTGAGGCCTAGGGCCTATAGTGCTGAACACCCCTCCACTTGGTAGCAGCAGATACTGGTGGATTTGGACCTGATGTGGACTTTGGGCTCCTCCAGAGTGTCCTGCTGGTGCCGATGCAGTAGGAGGGATTGGAGGCCAGTGTATGATAGTGGCTCTAGCCCCGGCCCCCCCCCCCTTTTTTTTTAATCTAAGAAAGTCTCCATGCCAGGGAATGGAGGGTTGGGATCTGCTGGAGATGGGGTATCTCCTTGTTCAGGCACACACTGAAAGGCCCTGCTGTTTGGCAACTGGAGTGTGAGGATTTGGTGTTAAGGGCTGCAAGCTGGATTTCTACTGCACAAAGAGAAGAATTGTAATGGTAGAATAGTCTAGTGCCATTCAGTCCTAACCCTCCCTATTTCTGCATCCTCTCCAAATAAAAATCACTCAGGCTTTCCTTTCAGTAATCTTAACTGAAGCCAAGTGATGCAGTTTTGTCCTCAATGACTATAGGCGTTTGTGTCATCTGGTGGCTTTCTTCTGGGTATGGACCCCTGGCTGGGGTGATCCTGGGCTCAGAAGAACTAGCTGGGTTTTTCTGAGGTCCAGGAGAGGGGGCAAGGAGAGGCCAATCTATGTCACTCACAGGAAAATTTGGATATATGGATATTTATAGGCATCTGGAGAGGACCTCTGGGGCCAGGGTCAACTCATCTGGAATATTTGCTCCTTTTGCCTCTCAGGAACTTGCTTCTACTGCTTCAGGGCAGAATTAATCAGAGTATACATGTGTCATAAGAGAGTTTGAGCTCAATTAGTGATTGGAGTGCACACTATATGTCATTCAGAAGCACATGTCATAGGGTATACACTGATGGTGGTGACTTTGAAGTAGGGAGCTAGCACCTCTGGGCTTGTATATTTCACCAAGGACTATATTTCTGTACTTCAGCAGGGGTGGGGTAGGGAAGCTAGGATGCCTGTTTTTTGCTTTTGGTTCATTTCCAGTGGCCTGAGTGTGTCTCGGTTGTGGCATTCTGTGGATACAAACCTTTATTTCCATTGTAATCAAAAGTTCACTTTCAATGAAGCATTGCAGATGCACTGCCATTGCTGCTTGTGTACACAAAATCTTGGGGAATTTTGTCATTTCCAGGCTAAGTGGGGGACTGGCAGACCCAGCACAGGCATGCAGTCTGAATCTCAGTTCTCTGCCAGCTAGTGTCTGTGGTGGTAATTAAGCTGAATTCTGTAGGAAGTTTCAGTCTCCCTTCTAGGGTGGGAGGAATGGTTCCCAGATGACTCTGTCCAGAATATTGCAATGGCAGAATGGAGGAGTTTGATGGCTACCACAAATATTAGATGGACTTTGAGCTGAATTGGATTTTGATATATTTCTGTTCTGCTTTAAAATACCCCAATTACATAATTCTGAGAGCAGAAAACCTATTTTAGACAATTTATTAAGTCCGTTGAATATAGTTTTATTAAAACAATGCACAAACATGCCCAAACTCTGGATTCTGAGTCTCATGGTTTTTTTTGTTTAGGTTCTTGTTGGGGTCTGTTTCTATCTGGGTGAAGCTGGGTGATGAAAGATCTTAGCATATTCATGGGAAATAGAGTGGCTGTGGTCATCTTGGAGTGTGGTTATGCAGAATAGAGGGGGTTTCTGGGCTCCAGTGTATATATGGGAGAGAAACACAAAGTGAAATCAGAGTTCTATTTCTCAGGAACACCAAGATGGAGTGGGGACTGGAAGCATTCAAAGGCTGTCTTGATATCTCAACCGGATTTAAAAAAAAATTTTTTTTTTAGTTGTAGATGGGCACAGTATCTTTATTTATTTATTTATTTTTATATGGTGCTGAGGATGAACCCAGGGTCTCACACTTGTGAACCAAGTGCTCTACCACTTAGCCCCAGCCCCAGCCCTCTCATCCTGATTTTGGAGGGGAACCCAGACCCTAAAGGCCTCAGGAGCACTCTTTAAATTTCTGGGCTTCATGCGGGTCTCAGCCAGTCTTCCCTTACAGAGCTGACCTTACTGCTGAGTCTCACTGAACTGAATAGGATGAAGCATACAGGGCTGTGATGCCAGAATCATCTTAATCCCAGCACCATCTTTGTCTCTTGGTGACCTCTCTTCTCTGTATCTGGGTAGGAGCAACACAGTAGTGCACTGAATGCAAGGTGGATTTTCTTAGTACAGCCAGGAGAGAGAGAGAGAGAGAGAGAGGGGGGGGGCAGTGGAAAAGACATCTTTGGATTTTTATTTTTTTTTTAAACTAGCATTGTAGGAGAGAACCCCAGTCCCTGTAGCTTTCATTCCCTACTTCCACCTGTACCAGGTTTCTGGGTGTACGTGTGAAGTGTGTGTGTGTGTGTGTGTGTGTGTGTGTCCTTCCACACACTGAGGGAGGGTGTTGCTGAGAGGTGAAGGATTACTCCAAAAGCACCCCAACCCTGCATGACAGATTCCCCGCCAAAACCAAAAGTGGGGCGGGAAGAACACGGGTCGGGGATTTGTTCCCTCCTCTTCCCTTGCGGCTTGAGAAGGGGCACGGGGTGCTCTTTCACTCCTCTTTGTACATTTCCTTCCTCCTTTTATTCCCTTCGGTTTTCTTTGCCGTCTGTATTCCTTTTCTTCCAATGTATCTGCCGTCTTTCTCCATTTCTGTCCTTTTGGCCCACAGTCTTTGTGCCTCCCAGACACTCCCCCTCCTCCCAGTCCGGAGAAACCCTTCTTCTTGGGCCGGAGGCGCGCCTGGACTTCAGGTCCCCAGGGCTGAGGACTGGGGTGCGTGTCCTCTTGGCGCTAAGTTTGCTTCTCAGGTCTCAGTGCGCGAGTTCCTCTCTCTGCCTCTCAGCCCTCTGCGGCCGGGCCGGGGGCTGTTGTCAGAGCGGGCGTCCGCTTGTCTGTCTGTCTGCCCGCAGGATGACCGAGCGGCCGCCGAGCGAGGCGGCACGCAGTGACCCCCCGCTAGAGGGACGGGAAGCGGCCGAGGCCCGCATGGCCCCCCCGCACCTGGTCCTGCTGAACGGCGTCACCAAGGAGACCAGCCGCGCGGCCCCAGCCGAGCCCCCGGTCATCGATCTGGGTGCTCGCGGCGGCCCGGGGGGCGGCCCTGCCGGTGGGGGCGGCGCCACAAGAGACTTAAAGGGCCGAGACGCGGCGGCGGCCGAAGCGCGCCATCGGGTGCCCACCACCGAGCTGTGCAGACCTCCCGGTCCCGCCCCGGCCCCCGCGCCCACCTCGGCCCCAGCGGAGCTGCCAGGCGACGGCCGCATGGTGCAGCTGAGCCCGCCCGCGCTGGCGGCCCCGGGCGGCCCCGGCCGCGCTCTGCTCTACAGCCTCAGCCAGCCGCTGGCTTCGCTCGGCAGGTGAGCAGCCCGCGGGAGGGCGGGGAGAGCGGCCGCGCAGCCAGGCTCCCCTTCGGCACGTGGGAGGGACCCCTCTCCTGCCTGTGGATCGCGGGAAGGGAGCGTGTGGTTGGAAACCTCTGGGCGTAGGAGCCAGAAGCTGGAGCCGGTGTGCGAAAGTGGGAAAGGAGCTCGGGAGCCTGAGTGACTGTGGAGACAGACGTGACCTGCGGCGTGCGGGTGTGTGGAAGCCGAGGGGAGGAGTGCGCGCATTCGAGGGTGCAGGCTTGAGGCTGTGTGAGAGTGACTTAATTGTGTGCTGGGTGGTGGTGGGGTGGATAGGGGGGTGTCCTCTGTGTGTGAGTCCCTGGCAAATGTGCTGGATGAGCTCCTGTGTGAGAGAGGAGGTGTTTGCTTTTAAGTTATGAAATTCTGGAAGGTGTAGCCCTAGGTGGACAGGTAAGAGAGAAGGATATGGAGTGGTTGTAGAGGGTACCCTTTTATGAGTCCTTGCTGGAGTCCACCCTGGCCCCTCTCCCGGCTGGCTGGGTCTGTACAGTGGGTGTAAGGGAACAGCCTTCCCTGCTGGGTTACTGTGAAGTTGCACGGAGGATGCAAGGTCGGGATGGGGAGAGGAAGAGGAGG